GCTCTGGCAGCCACACTGCCCAGCAGGAGCTTGCAGCCCTGCCGCCTAGAGCGCTGGCAGCACAGCGAGCTGAGGCTGCGGGGGACAGCGGGAGAGGGGCCAGGGGCTAGCCTCCCCGGCCGGGAGCTCAAGGGCCGTGCAGGAGAGTCCCGTGGGCCGGATATGGCCGGCGGGCCATAGTTTGCCCACCTCTAGACTAGTAGGAGAATTCAGCCCTGGAAATAGGCAAAACAGTTTAGGAGAAACAAAATTCCCAAATCCAAATAATTTGTAAGGTTTTGGTTAGTTCAGATAAGAATCCCACCCACCAAAAATAATAATTAATAATAATAATAAATAAAAGGTTTATCTTCTAGGCCCAGCAGACATACATCCCTTCATGGCTACATTTGGTTAGTGCCATCCATGTCTTGACTCAAAATGGAAATACGTCCTTAATACCAAATTGACCTTTTCACTAGAAAAATGTTCCATTTAAAGATCACTTTGTGGCCAGTGAAGACTCCTTTCAAAGGGGATGCCAATACATTTAAAAATACAAGTGCTGTGTAAATATTGAAGCACAAACATTCCAAAGTTATATTTACTTATGACAATTCAATTAAAAAGCTTCTATGCCAAGGAGTGCACAGTGAAACCCAGGGTGCTGTGCAAAGGTTGCTTAAAGCCATCTTTTTGCTCCTTTGATCATATGCCAGTTCTGTACCAATCCAGTGCTCTGGCATAAATTAGAGACCAGCCTGAGGTTTATGCTAATTTACACTGGTTGCCATTGTGGCTATGCTACTGAAGAATCTTTCTATACCAGGGTGATCCATTCGTGGCTGGCTACCCTGCTTTGCCCTGGCTGCACTACTGCGGAAGAGCAGGGATAAAATGTCTTAGATTGATCCTAGGTCAATGGAAAGACTCCCATAGACTGCCTTTGGATCAGGCCTTTAATGAAAATATAGGAAAATAATAAACAGGGATCCAAAACTTTCTCTGACATCCACTGGTGTATGTCTGCAGTGGACTTCATCAGAGTCATTCTGGTTTCATGTCAGCATCAGTGTGAGCAGAATTTGGTTCAGTAGTTATATAACTGTAAAATCTAAAGGGACATTCAAATTAAAAAACATTAGCGGTCACAAATGTTACCTGAAATTGGGCCAGCTAGTAAGCTTAGGGAGGACTAATGACCCACCAGAGTTTGGCAGAAAGCAGCACGTTTATTATACTGAAAGCTAAGCTCAAAAGAAAGAGGGGGGTGGTCACACTCTCACTCCTGCATTCTCCACCATTAATGTTACCCGAAATTGGGCCAGCTAGTAAGCTTAGGGAGGACTAATGACCCACCCGAGTTTGGCAGAAAGCAGCACGTTTATTACATTGATAGCTAACCTCAAAAGTGGGAGGGGGTCACATTCATACTCGCATACTCACGCTCCCAGGACAGGCAAGGCACTGGAGATGTCAGGATCCTTCAAGCTAAGTGTCCCACAGCGCAGCGATGGACGGTGCGATGAAGGTAAGTCTTCCCGAGGCACGACGGAATGCGCGGTGAACCCGGGCGAAGGGCCTTCATGGGAGGTACAAGCTTGTGAGTGCACTCTTGAGCACATGGCCCCTTCCCTTTTTAAGGACCTGCTCCTCATGGCCTGTGACTAGAGATGACTTGGCTGCATCTGGTTGGTCACACTCCACCTCGGGCAGTGTCTATGCACTGGGTGTGTGATCGCTGCCTAATTAGAGTCCCAGACATCTTGTCTACTTGGAAGCTCTTCTGACCTTCCAGCTGTTAAACCAGCCCATTCATCCCACAAGCATTCCAGGAGGGAGTGGGAGGGGGAAAGCCAAACAGACCTTTTGAGCACACAGGTTATACATCGCATACAGATCACTGCTGCTCCTACAACAACAAAATTCATAATTATTTCTTATCTACTTTCAACTGTTCGGATGCCCCTTTGAGCTACTCTGTTGAAAGCTAGCATACTTGGTCATAATGGGACTGCAGATCATAGGGGAAAATGACATTTTCTATTTCTATTATGGGTCACCAAAGAATCTAAGAATTATATGCACTTCTTCTGTGAGGCAAACCTGGTGGACATGAAGCCCCCAATGTAGAGAAATTGCAGTAATCTAAGATCATCAGTTCTATCTAATAGATTTTAGCCAAGAAAATTTCAAACGGGAGGAAGTGCAGCTCAGGCAACCAAAACTGACAGTTACATCTACAGATTACTAGTTGATAGCTGTCAGCTAATACACACAAAATCTGTGGCATAGCCTAACTAGAGCCAGGCACTTTTCATCAACAATTCTCAAGGCTCATAGACTTCATTATGAGCTGTATGGAAAAAAACCCAAAGATATGATGTGAACAGATTTTGAGAGATATAGGAGAGTGAAAGAGAGAGTTTTCTTCTATCAGGGAAAATGTCTTTCCTTCTCTGTCTTGGGTTCTGGTGTCCTTTCCTCAGTGCACAATATTCACATGCTGTTTCTGTGAATTTTCAAAGTCCGCCCACATTAAAGGTAAGCAAACCACTTCAGATAAAATAAATATTCAGTGGAGAAGATTCATCTATGTGGTCTGGGAAATGTTTGGGCTAGTTTGAATTACTGTGCAAGATCTGAGAAAAGACAAGATTTTTATTTTAAGTCTGGGTTTATGACATTTGTTTTACATAACTTATCCAGTTCAATAAAAGTTTTCCGTGGTACATGAGAAAGATTGTAAATCACCCTAGCACATTTTGCATGAAACTTACTGCAAGAAGAGACTGCATGAATTAATTGGATGAAAAATGCCAGCAAGAAAACAAATGGCTGCACTTTGATAGTTTAGCCATAGCCTGGAGATAATGGTATTAAATCATGAAATATCATAAACAAACTTGTCTATTCATTACCAGAATACAAAATGGTATGCGTAACATGGAACTATTTTGAAAGTGAGCAGGTTTTAGAACATGACTTTGCTTCAACAATAAGGCACATTTAGAAAATAGCTGATATTCATTTGGCAGTGCAAAAATAAACTAAGAAAAAAGTTATTTACCAGTAATTCTTCACCAAGGTTCACAGCTGTATCCACATTCTTGGGTGCACACAGTGTATGTAGTTGCAGAAAGTCTCATAGTGAAATCTGGGATCATCTCTGGCATGTTCCTCTGCCTGCTAGATGCCCTAGTGATCTTTAATAGCATTACTAGTTTTCTAATAGCTAAAGATGTAAAACGTAAGTGTAATAAAGAAATATCGATATCCTCCATCTTTACAGGTAAGATGGGTGCCCAGCAGAGTGTGGATGTTTAGCAAGTATTCTGTCTTAGGATATGTTTACACTGCAGCTGGGAGCGAGCCTCTCAGCCTAGGTAGAATAACTCATGCTAGCTCGACTTGAGCTAATGCTCGAACTACAACAGAGTACATGTTGCTGCTTGGGCTGCATCTCAGGCTCTCATGCCCACTCAACTCCCTGCATCTGCAAAAGCTACCCTCAGCTTGGGTACCCCAAGCTACCCCACAAATTCTACACTGCTATTTTTAGTGTGCTAGCTTGAATCTATCTTACTGAGTTGGGAGGCTCACTCCAAGCTGAAGTGGAGACATACCTGTAGGGCTGGATCCAGGGACACTCTGAGTCTTTCCTTTGACTTCATTTGTTCTTGGATCAGGATATTAAAGAACAAGAATTAGTTGAAAGTAATTTTCTTATTGGGTGTCATGGCAAAACCTCACTGTAGAGACCAGGGCTCTGATTCTTCTTGGACACTTAAATTGGTGAAACTCAGGTATAACTCCACTGAAGTCAATAGAGTTACGCTAGTGTAAAACCAGTTCCCCCCCCCCCCAGAGCAAAACAGTAACAATGGACATTACAAAAGCTTTGTTAGAGATCTGAAAGACTAATGGAACCTCCCTCTCCTTGTCCCTAAAGACTGCCATGAGCCCCTTGAAGGAAAGCTTTGCCCTACATCTTTGGCTTAGTTATGCAGAAACATAGGGGGCCCACATGACAGTTTCTTAAGTCTTGTCTTGGTTTGGCTACACTGGTGATTGCAACATTAAGAATACCAATATTGAACACTTTTGAGTGCTTAGCAGCCTTTTTAAATCACTACATCAAACAACTTTGCTCACATGAAGTTTAGCTGACAGTGCTGAATATGTCCCGCCCACATGACAAGTGGTTTAATGGTATCTGTGGGATTTTATTAAAGCACATAGCACAAGCCTTTTGAACGGAAACTGTTTGGTTTACTGGTGGAATTGCTTGCATCATTCTGTGCAGCAACTTGACCACAAAGTGACAACTGATCCTCTGTCCTGATGAGGCTGCCTGGGTGGTTCTACAGTAAAAAGCTACCACCTTTGAACCACCAACTAAAAATTATCTTCAAAAATTGGAGTGGGGGTGATCATTTGCAATCACCTCCTCCCTAATAACTTGTTGAAAACGAAACTCCGACTAAAACACTAATCTCCAACAAAAATTCTCTCAGGCAGTCACCCACGTCAGTGAGCCCGACATCCTACTGAGAAAAAACATAGAAAAAACATAAGGGCAATGTGACATTTGCATCATGAGATCAGGATTGTCCACCCATTTTGGCTACTTCTAATCCCCTGCAACAGCAGAGATGACCGCTTTTGACAGAATTTTTAGTAGACCAGACAAATGGGAAGGGGTCAACAGTGAATTTTAGCAATTATGAGACATGTATTAACAGTGACTAGAACAAAGGAATACTGCAATCTAAGACTCTGCATGCTCCCTCTTATTGCTATACTACTGCATCTTGTTAGTCTAACAGTTAGACTTTCCTTTCAGAAACAGCTCTCTCACTATGAGGGGCAGTATTGTCCAATAGTTACATAAGGAAACTGCAAGTCAAGGTGATTGTGTATCATCGCCACTCTACCGCTGTGCAATTTTGGGCAACACACTAAAATCCCTCTGCTTTCCTAATCTGTTGTGGCTAATTTACCTACAATGCTTCCTGCAGTTAGAAGGATGAATCTTGAAGACACACTACTAGTTCAAATTTGACTCCAAGTTCAGGACTTCTATTAGAAATGTTCCCATTACAATAAAAATCCATGGACACTTTTAAAAAACAAACAATCAGTTGCAACCTTAAGTTCACAATATTGACTAGTCTTTCAGTTGCATAGTAAACAGTGCAAGTTGACTTGAAATAACCTATAAAGAAAGAAGTGAAAAGCTATCTTAATTTTCCAAATTGAGCAGAAACCCCCACCCCATTTTTTACCCAAAACCCATCTGTAAAGGTCACTCTGGTAACTTACTCAAACAAAAAAGTGAACTTGAAAAAGCGGAAATACATCAACACTTGATCAGCTTCTCTCTTAAAACAGAGACAAAAAGAGGAAGATAGTAACGGAGCATGATGAAGTAAAGATATTTCCATCCTTCAAAAATCATAGCTTTAATTATACTTGTGTACATTTATATAGTTTCATATGTATAAATGTGTGAGCATAATACTGCAGAACTGTTTCAATGGCTGTTTAAAAGCAGTTTGTCTCATTCAGCCATTTTTCTTAAATTGTTTTAAGAAAAATACTGACTCCATTGTCATTTTTAAGTCAAAATGATTGAGACTCATTTAACTGTGAAAGTGGAATGTTACTAATAACCATGTGTGTCACAATAATAAAATAATCTGCAGTCCAAGTTATATCTTCCCCCTTCTTTCTGATTTTCTGCTTGCTCAACAATCAAGACCCTTTGTCATCAACAGTAGTTCACTTGTGACCATGGTTTGCAGAACATGTTTTTTAAACAGAAAAAAGTGACAAAGGTTGTGTGGGTTAGTTTTCAAGTAAAAAAAGTTTATTTACAGCTTGAGAAAGTTGCCTTTCCTTAGAATATGAATATGTCAAGAAAAAAATTACACAGTAGTTGCTTACACCAAAACAAAAATATACATTTGATGTGTACAAACTTTTAAAAAACATATTACAGGCATTGCAAATGTAGATATTACATTAAAATATTTCCAACAACATAGCTACAACTTAAATTAAGAAATGGAATGTTAAGTACATTAAAAGATTTAGCGGTTTCCTAAAGTGTCACTGTATGTACATATTTAGTCAAAGTGTCTGGTATTTTAATTTTAGATAAAAGGCATGAGGAAGATCAAACTACCACGACCCTATCATATTATAGGGGCTCAGATATCTAAATGGGTTACACACTTTAGATAATATATACTTAGTTATTTCTGATGATGTAGCTTTTTGTAACTTTGAGGAAGTGCATTGCCTTTATTCTAAAAATAAAGAGCCACGCATGAAAATCCTTATTCAGAAAGACGCTCTAGAGGAACACACAATTTACATTAGGAGAGTAAAGCTTTAGTGCAAGCTCAGGAAAAACACATTTACAACTGTGTTTTACACAGCCTCTCCAATTAGTTTTTGTTTTACATAATTCATAATCAAAACATAAGGGGAGAATATGCATCAGATTCCACAAGGTCAGTGGTAATTGAAGGCCTGCTTAAGTTTCAACCCATATCAGCGATGGTAACTATCCAGTTACAAAGCATAGGAAAGCTTGAAAAGTTCAATGTATTGTTTTGTAACTGGAAAGGATGTATATTCCTGTTTGTGTTAATATAGCCACAGGAACTCTGTTTTAGGATCTCATAAGAACATAACATAAGAACATAAGAAAGGCCATACCGGGTCAGACCAAAGGTCCATCTAGCCCAGTATCC